TTCACAAAAAATAATTTTAAATTTAAAAAACTTGTAACAGATAACTGTACTTACCTAAATTACTGACTAATTAAAGGTTAGGTTAAGGGTAAAGCACATATTAGATCATCCCCATTGTGCAATATGTAGGCAACGAATTAATTTAAGACCTATTCCAGCTCACATTTGGACAAGTCCTTTCTTTTAAAATGGGCGTCTTATTTGAACACGGTCTATTTGGTTAGCGACACTCGTTCCCAACTCAACTGCAGAATGAAAACGATACGCGTCATGACAACGCGATTTATCAACTTACAACAACTTGTAAGTGATTTTCTTTTCAGTTTCGACGCAAAATTTTCGCGATTTACGAAAATTATTTTGATATGTGGGAGGAACGTGGGACGAAAGTCTTTTGCGTTATAATTAATTTCGACATTCAAAATGGGCTGTTCTTTGTTCCTAAAATATGTTTGCAAAACTTTTTTTAAGGGGCAGACTTAAAAAAGTTCGGGTCGTATTTCATATATTATATTTAGACGTATAAACTTTATGCACATCGTAAAAAAAATAAATATTGATAATCTGAATGCAGTGGACTTTATCTAGCAATCTAAAATATAAAATGTCAATCTTAAGGAGATTTTTAGGCACATAGTTGGAAGACACAAGCCTTCAAGACACTTCAATTTGTGACAAATAAGTATTTATGTAAAATATACTTTCATACAACTCCATTGGGCATATTATGTAAGTGCAACTGTCGAGCAATGGGGATAGGTTTAAATTCCTTGTTTGACAAAATAAATAAACAGAACATACATGGTGTTCGTGGAACTATGTAAGTGGGAACGTTTCAGATCTTAAATCATATAGTGTAAAAACTTTATTGAAATAGCCTATCGACAAAACCGTATCTTCTGAACAATTTATTGCACTTCCGAACTTCATATTTTCAGTTCTCGCTGTATATGAGAAACTGTCAGGAGCGCCAAGATTTGTGTGGTTAGCAGAACTCATTCATGTGTCAAATATTCAATCTCTTACGCGTTAGTAACAAAAGTAATAGTACGATTTAAATAATAAATATATATATTAAAATAATACTTTAAAAAAATATAATAAGATTTTTTTAAGTATTATTGTACCGGGTAAGTTCGGGTTACTTTGACCCTGCGGGATAACTTTGATACAAACCCTTTAACCAATAATAACTGAGAACCAAACGTATTATTATATTAGTTTTTCATTGGTTGGAAAATTTGGATCAAAGTTACCTCCCAGGGTCAAAGTAATCCGAACTTACGGTACTGTTTCTGCACTCAACTGAAGCTTAAGCTATCATTATCTCATTATGTGTACGTTCATCTCTCAAAGTAGGTATTAGGCCCGGCCCGGCAGGATTCTTTGAGCAAAATCAGGAAACAGGGTGAATTGCTAGGTATTTTAAAACCTTCATCATTAATAGGTGATGTAGGAAACTGTTTCTTTGCGGGATCAAATTAAAAATGAGGAGATCCACAAATGAAGAAAAGTCGCTGACATAGCCTAGCGGATTAGTAAGCTGGAGTGGTAGTGGGCAGAGCACTTTCCACTGTCTTTTCGTCAGTGACGGTTTTTTATTTGTCAGTGGAAAATCATCAAATCACTTCTTCCGCCCAGGGCCAGGTGGGAGGGAATGTCGGACTCTTACTGACCAAAAACACTGCTGTTCTTCCCCTGCTCGAGGCCGGGGTCGCTATGCCTCATTGCGCTTACCTTGCAACTCCAGCTGAACATCAGCAGCTCGCCGTCGCTCATCCGGTAGCCAGAGATCATCCCCGATGCCCGGTGTGTTGCGAGGACGCCATGGCGCCTTTCGGTGCCCGTTCGTCAGTGACGCTACTAGCTCATTCCAACATATATATTCGAATGGAGAAAAACGAACAAGAAACTCCATAAGGCCGTGACGAAAAAGTCCGCCCATTCTTAACTACTGAATCCTGGCTCTCCGAAACTTATTATTATAAAAGTAGCCATTAAAAAAATTTGCGTTCTTCAATTAACCAAATTTCATTAGACTTAGGTACGCTTTAATGTTGGGGTCTCATTAGCGACTAATTTTGGCTGGCTAACTAATTCAATTTATCCAAACACCTCGACTGGGGCACTTGGCTATAGGCACATTATTCATGTGCTCATTAACACGCGTGCATACCTTCATGTATGGGGTATGTTGGTTAATATACTTTGTGCCTTCAAACGCGAATGCAAAATGTAACCTGCATAACTGTTATGTAACTTTAGGTGCACATTTCGAAACTTAATTTTGATTAAGTTTGATGTCGTTGGTAGTCTTGGGGGAAAATCATCAAATTACTTCTCTCGCCCAGGGTAGGGCCTGACGGAATTTCAGGCTCTTACTGACTTAACCCCACCGTTCCTGCTCCTGCTCTGGGCCGAAGCCGCGGTGACTCGTTGCGCTTATCCCGCAACCCCGACTGAACAGCAGCACTATTGAGCCACATCTGTGGTGGTCTATTAGCTTCTAGAGTTATCGTATATTACTTATAGCTTTGTGCGCATGAAAATAATAAAGTTTGCGTCATAGTTGATACAGTAGGGACAGTCAGTGGGCGACCGGCTGACGCGCAGCGTGTTGCGGGTTCGATTTCAGAAGCATGTTTTTTTTTAGATAATGAGATCTTTTTGATATTCTATTTATTAAACGCAGAAACAGAAGAGGAAATTATTGGAAATTATTATATTATTGCTGATTTTTATTCAAATGTATCTGCTTCTGTTTATAAAACAATAAACTCAAAACTTCTAACTACTTCCAACAAATACAAGACTAAACTGCTATGCAAGGATAATCTTCAAACACATTTTCTTCTCAGAATAATCTAACATGAAATTGCTATTCTGAATAAACCGCATGACGTTAAAGTGGTGAAGTAACTTGCATTGGACCTGGAACTCGTTAGGCTAATGTCATATAGTCAAGGTTCGTTACCGATGACCGATGCACCGTGAAGATAATAGGTAGGTAGCTACAAAACTTATGTGGTTTTGTGAGACGGAGCTATCTACCGTCGTATGAATGATTCAGGAGTTGGGACTTTTGCAAAAACACAGATTTGGGGGAACTCCTGACTTGCGGGTGCCACTCTGACAACCATTTACGCAGATTAAAAAAAAATGGTTGACGGCAATGTTAATGTCGGGTCAATATGTTCTTGTCCCCCAGTTGAGGAAAAAATAAATTATTAATACCTAATTAATATTATGATATCCGTCACCGGCGCCGAAACAGGTACGACCACTGAAATATTATTATAGCCGTGTCAAGACATCTGTACATAACGTGAAGTAGATACATAATGGCATATTTCAAAGAACCTACTAATGAACAAATTCAAATTATTCTCTGAACATTTTTTTCATTTGACTTTTTACCCTTCATTTTAAAAGTCCTATGTAAACGTAAAAGATGATTGACTTATAGCGGGCAGAACTCGTTATATACCTTATTAACAGAACAGAAATACCAATAAAGCCGTAACTGTGAACATCGAACCTTGTAAGTACCACACTATTGAAACCAACTTAATTCACGAACAACAGAACAACATATAATCTCGGAAACCAATCAGCATATAACGTAACCTCTAATGAACTCGCTTACATGACTAAACAAAAACACGGTGTACTTTACAACAAACGACTACATTTCCGCATCTTCAAAGGCCTTTCAGTGGGCGCTGGGAACATAAACAGCGATGCAAACACTTCGTGCGGTATCGCCGTGCATTAGAAAAGCAACAGGTAAGCGAAGTGGTCTTTAATAAACAATTGAACACGGTAACAGGTTGCCACTGAGCGTATAATGCCTACCCAACTTATGACGGTGCAACCTTTGCGAATTTTTGTTTGGGATTAATAAAATGTGTTTTTTTCATTTCAGTGAAGTGTAGATTGTGTGTGTATATTTTTATGGAAAACTTGTACTTTAAGATTTTTTAAAAGATATTTTTCATTTAAGACTTTTTTAAAGTAGGTAAATCTTTTTCTCACCTTGATAGCAAATTCTAGTTCAGTCTAAATGAAAAATTTTGAATTGTCTAATTTATGTGAATTCTTAATCGTTTCCTGGTCACATAAGATGAAAATGAAATGAAATCTTTAAATGATTGCATGTATGTGGGTAAGTTGTAGCAATAAATTATTTTAGAACAAGATTTACGAAATATGCTAAGTTTTGTGTTTGAGACGAGGAGTGGAAAATAAAAGTCACGGGTACAAAATAACATTTACTTAAACGTAACTTATTACAAGTGTCTGGTTACGACATACAAGTGAATCTGTTCGTCTAGCGATCCAATGTACCACTATTCTCACACTAACAACAAACACCAAAAAAGGCTGGTCCACGATAAATAAAACTGCGTCGACTAAATTATTATTAATTTACAGTATTTTTCATTGTGTAATACAACAGTCCACCTCTTTGACATTCTAACTGACAGTTCATTTAATGTGGACCAATCTTTTAACAACAAGCCCAGATGGCGCTACGTTCGTTTCAAAATTACCACAGATAACGCAAATGTTGGCATGCGTTAAGAATTTGCTAACATTCGACTTATCATTACCAATCATAAATTAAATACTTTATAACTATAATAATGCTGTGTCCATTTATTTGCAAAATTTCGTGATTGTAAATTTATTGTTATAATCAATATAACCTAAAAGTTTAAACATTTTTCTAAGTACCAAATCTACTTACGCTTGCATATCGTTATAAATTATAATTTAGACAATTTGGACAGCCATATTGAATCAAAACTTAAATCAACCACTTATACCTATAATTTTAGCAAACCTTGCATGCTATTTTATGTACTAAGACAAATTATCAAGTACCTATGCATGATTTGATAAACTTAATGAAAGCAGCGAATCAATAAAATAACTACTTATTAATAGAATACAATCGCATTATTCCATAACTATTTACTAGGTACATTTTTATCACATAAAAAAAATAATAACATCAATTAATCAACATTTAATTTCGGTAGACAATATAGAAACTTTTTTTTAATTATATATAGTGAGCTCTCTGGTCTGTGCTATGAGCCAAATGACAAAGACATTTTTTTTTTAATAAAAAACGAATCTCTCAATCAATATTGTAGACTATACAGCCAGTGTCGAATGTTGACAGCAGATTAATGAACAATCGAAATTTTAACTTTGTGGTAGTTTGTTGTTAATAACTAAACGTCTTATCAGTTGTTTGCTAGTAACTAACTTTGGCTTAATCGAGATAATAGAACAATGCAATTCGATGAGGAATTGTAACTGACATTCGATATTATATGGCAAGTTTATGAGACACAAAAGAAAAAAAAAATTGTCTCTTGCTTCGTTCTGCGCTCCGGGTACCACGGGATAAATGTCATTTGGCTCATAGCTCTACCTGGTAAGAATGGCTGGCAAAACAGATTCAGTGTTATGTATATTTAACACAAGGGACGTGAATTTAATGTTATTGACAATCTTTGGAAATTATCTAGTACGATGTACAGTCAACCTAAGAGTACGAAGGCGTTTTAAAAATATAGTAAACAATTTTATTTTAATCTTGCAAAAACAATGGTTTTATGATAGAATAAAAATCAGTTTTATATAGTTAACGATAAGGTGTATTTTAATAAAACGAATATACTTTATATTTTATTTTAAAGAAGGAATAAAACAAACTAAGTTTTCATTATTCAATTTTCGTACTAAATATAAAAACTAACTTCAATAAGCATTTTTCCTGCAAACATTTCATATGACTGAGATCTCAATTACGACCAATTGAAAAGCGCAAATCAGACTACACACTAACACGAATTATTTTAAAATATTCATATAGCTCTTTACGAAGCAGTATCATTAAAATATTAGGTAAACATGAACCCATTCTGTATGGGTCGTTAAGCTATCTATTAAAATATCAGAAACACTATTTATGGTGCTCGTAAATTATCAAAACCAACTTACTTTACATGTATCGTTATTTCTTTAAGAAATGCCATAACACATTTGATGAGAAAACATTCCGAAGTTTATATTATTTGTTATAAACTATAAAAAACAATTAATTTATGAAAGATGAAGTTTAAAAATAGTAATTCCTTATATTGAGGACTCTTCAACATTATAATTTACAATTGTAAATCATTAAGATTTCTTAAATTAGTGAAATAGTGATTAAATAATTCTTTTTGAAAACATTCGTCTACAACTTTATCACAAAAAAAACAATATAGGGACTTCCAAATGGGAACAAACTAATTAAATTAGAAATTAAAAGAAAACGCTAGTGATAAAAAACAAAGCGCTTGCGCATTATGTGACCAAGTGAAAAATGTTGTTGTAAACAAGAATTTTCATTGGCTGTTAAGACATCATCATCACCCAATGAGAACAGTCCATTTGTAACCGACAAAACTGATTGGTTTAATCAGAAACTGGATCCTTTTTTTAAATTATTTGTGACTATTTTTATTATATACGGACTGATATTTTTTCAAGCAGGTTTTACTATATCATTCTATCTCAATTTTGGTATATGTAAAAATGACACTATAGCAAATATGAATAGGTAGGTACATTATTATATAGAAGGCAAGATATTTTAGTCGATTTTGTGCATAGTGCTTTGTATTTGTGAGCGAATAAATACTACTTGAGGCAAAAACTACAAGTCTGTTGGAAGATTAGCTTTTTAGGTAAATATTGAAGAAGTTTGGAATAACGAGAAATTCTAAGACCCTATAACAAGCCATTCTAATGTATTAAATTAAAATAGCCAGGAAAAACTAAACTTTATTCCTAAGGATTACAATAGAAAATCTATGAATAGTGTTGTTAGCAAGCTCATATTCTTATATTGTGAGAAATTGTTACTTTTTTCTCGAAAATTTTTGGACTATTTATGTATAGGTTTAATTCTAATAGTAAAGTATTAAGGGACCTTCTTTCTAACATACTTTTGTAACATTTAGTGACCAAATACTGTTTATTTAAGGCTGCACAAGTAAATTGTGGCTACAATAAACTGTCTATCGACATTCTCCGTACATTACTTTATTATTATTAACATCCCAATCATACATAGCTTAGGTTTCTAATGCACTATAATAATTTATATGTGTGTCTATTGCTTGCAATTACATTTTTACACTAATTATTTTGCGTCGTGTTTTTTTTATTCAAGTCATCACGGATCATCGGTCAATCAAAAAGCAACTTGAGTGTTAAAGTTATACGATCGAATTTGCCACAACAAAGTATCCCCATATCTATGTCGGCTTCGACCTTCCTTACATTACCACTTTTCATTTATACTACAACACCATATTATCGGACGAGCTAAGCCGAAAGTTCACTATTTAGGACTCCCGTCTAGTTCGAAACTAGACGGACTAACATGAAACGAGCTGAATCGAACCGGACACATTTGTATGCATTAATGCCCCGACTTAAGAGATTAGTGCTGACGTGGCTACTATTATAAGTTCGTATGGATAATGAATTCACGACTTTAGATATCGTACAGGGACAGCAATGTCACCTCTTAAGAGCCAGCTATCAGCAGAGATAATTTATTTGCTAGATCTATATTTTCCAGTAAAAAAATAAGTTTCAAACCCATTTCAAGATCTTTTTCTTTAATTAAACCATCATTAGGCCGGGGTACTTTTGCAACATATGGACATAACAACATTCAAACATATCTACCTAGACAACGACACGAGTACATAGAAATGAGCTCAATACTCAGCACTCAGTAATCAAGAGCCCACTCGTTCTCCTGAAGGAACGCGTCCACAACCTCCTTCATCGTGAAGTTAGGAATTAATTGATCCGCTGTCAACTTCACACGAGTCACCGGATCGAAGTGGCCGACGCGCTGTGAAAGAGACATATTAATTAGGATTAAATTTCGCGTAAATACATAAATACAGATCATTATGTCTGTCTTCCGTTTGGGTTTCAAAAGACAATGAATGGTTATGGTGAGAGAGATACGTTGCAGATTGGAAGTAAAAAGTTCTATTTATATGACTACAATCAGTGTAAACTCGTCAAAATAATAAGTTACTAAAAACAAAAACACTCCAAAGTTGCCAAATTGGCAACTTGAGAGTGTTTTGGTTTGAGCTAGTTAGCAATTTGCTTTATTTGTTTTAAAAAATCCTGTGCTTTTAACATAACATTTTATTGGTTTCATACTGCAAAGTTGAAATATCTTAATTTGATCCAAATTTGAAAATCAAAAAGAAGTAGGTATGACGTTAGTAATTTTAAAGGTAACTATTATTATTACCTCCAAATGTTCCTCGATGTCTTTCTTCTCATAAGTAATCCCGCTAGGCGTGATCACTGGCTCGTTCAATATCTCAAAACTGATCTTGCCGCACAAGTAATCGGGTACATCACGTTTCTGAAAATTTTATGACACAATTATATAATTAATAAGTTGTCTATATAAACTTTAATATCAAAATGTCTTGGTCAACCTATAACTAAACGACGTCTGTTCAGACGTCGTTAGGTCGTTACACTCCAAGTCAGGACAGGTACTTTTAAAACATCATATTATAATAATAGGCTGTCAATCAGTTCGTCAGTGAAGCTAATTAATACAAAGATTTGAATGAAAAAAACGGGCAAGAAACTCAATATGATATTATGTGTTGTATTTGTTATCATCAAGAGGAGATTCTTATAGAAGAAAACTTAAGAAATGTGAAGGAAAAGATTGAAAATATATAATAGCGTTCAAAGGAACGCTAATATATAACCAAAGAATTAATAGCCAAAGTATTTGGACCTCCTTGCTAGCAGTCGGCTAGCAGCCCTAGTTGTATATAGAAATATTATATGTATTTTCTAGAAACATGAACATACCCTTCTTCTCTCATCCATTTTAGAAAATAGTATATTTAATTCGCTCCTGTAGTTATTCTGTGAACAAATACATTTTTAATATATTAGTATTAATTTAAACTATTAATGTGCTATTCTAATAGAAGTTTTGTTTTGAAAATAAATTAACTTACGTTTAAAATAAAATTTCACAACCCTTAAAAAGAGATATAGATCTAAATCGACCTTCATATTGCATTGGTTATGTGACAGGGTACTGTCTACGTAACTGGCAAGGTTACATAATGTTGGTACAGTCAGCGCAGATATACGTACAATCAGGGCACTCAATTATGTAGACGCACACAAACCACCAAAAACTCGGTATAACCAATTCATCATATAGATAGTACAACAAAGTCATCGTACACGCAAATCCTCATAAATATTGGTACAGTTTGACAATTGGGTAGTTTCCTAGGTCAAAAATAAATTATTTCGACGTTTCAATATAATAAAATATTGAAAAATAACTATACTTTCATTCATCGATCGATCGATACACTAAGTTTTAGATTTTTTAGCTTATTATTAAGAAATAAGTAAGCTATTTGACGCAAAAAAGTAATGACGTCATTGCTCAGTTTTTCATACAAATTTCATAGAAAAGTATCGTTTTTGACGTTTGGATAAAAGTATTGAATTTGACTAGTTGGAAACTACCGTATTCTTTTCTATAATTGAGTACTTTGAATGTCCCTAAATATCTGACGCTAACTGTACTTTGGAAGTATTTCCATAAAGAAAATTGAGTGTATAAAATAATTCTAATACTTACACATTCATCCTCTATTTTAGACGCCTTACTACTAACATCGTCCTTGTTATTTGAGTCTACTTTTAATGCTTCTATTCTACGCTGCATATCCTCATTTATTAACCTATAAACAAAATAAAAGTACATATTATTAACAAAGTATTTTACTTTTACACTAAAAAACATCACTGTAACAAAACGATAAGGTTGAAAATTGCTCGCAAAATTTCTCGACATAGAAACCGATTTTCCGATCTTTGCAAGTGTCTCAATGAGCTCTTTTGCCCAGAGAGTATCAATAATTAAATATTTCATTAATAATTTGTAAACACGTAAAAGTCGCCATATTCATTATAAACCAGTTTACTTCGAATGTTGTAAAGATATTCCATTGTCACCTTGCGTCCTAAGGCCCAAGTAAACAGACTAAGGACGACGACCGTCTAAGCCAGGTAAGCATTCGACCGTGATGTGCATGGAAGTGTATCTGAATTATTAATTCAATGCGAAGCTGTCCCCGAGCATACATAAATAAAGCGTACCCACTGATGCTCGACAAACAAAGCTACCTAATGTCACCATTCATTGATTACATTTTTGACGTATGCATCGACAGGGTCAAACTACGGATGTAGGTACCTTCCTTTGTATCACAAAATTTGTTCAAACACCGACTACTTTGTTTTGGTCAAACTAAATTGTTAGAACAAAAACAGTCATTTACTAATGAAAACAGTAATTTTTAGACTGATACGAGAATCTACATGTCATCGATTGGCAAACAGGCCTACGGATTACATGGTGGTAAGCAATCGGCGAAGCCAAAGGACACCCGTAACACCAGAGGAGCTATGATTGCGTTGCTTGTTTTAGAATTAGGAGATATAGAGATTGGGGAGAGATGGCGGAATGGCAAGAATCGGGCCTTCGGTAATCTCATTCACACGATGAAACAAAATGCCATGGTTGATTCACGCGGTTTTTTGTGAAGTCTTAGTATCACTCCGGTTGAGTTACAAAGTGAGAAGAGAAGAGAGACCTATTCGTGCCAAAGTGTGTCTTTCCCACACTTGGTCGATGGAATTGTGAATTTGAGTTGACTCATAAAAAAACCAATGAAAAGTTAGGTGCATTGTATTGATTGCCCACACATTACCCCTGCAAAATTCCTGAGGATTAAAAGCCTGGGTATAGGTATGTAAATGTAAGTTTACCTATTCAAATAAGACTGCAGTTCGATCTCCTGCGCTATTCTCTTTTCCTCTTGTACGTTCCATCGCTTTTTCCTCGCTATACGGATTTGTGCGGCGATGTCGTCGCCGAAGTTTAACTTCTGTTCGCGCGCCAAGTCATTTGCTAGAACATTACAAAAATACATTTTAAAAGATATTGGGTATTTAAAAATCATTATATACCTACCTAGTATAAAACTAAATCAGTTTCTTTATCCATATGTACTTAGATATGCTTAAATCTTTAAAACTATAGGATGCTGAAGCCGTTTTTTTATGGATGAAGTTATTGAAGAGGAAAGTTGGTAATAATATGTATATCTAATAACATTTACCTAGTGGATACATTTAGTATCAGCATTGCATCCATGCGAAGCTGGGACGGGTCTCGATACTCGGAATTTTAATTCCATTCCAGATTTGACAATTTCAGTGTTGCAACATTATGAAAGGTACTAAATAGTGACGTTCCGAAATTATTCGATGTGGAAATCGAATATTTCTAAATCGATTCTTCTCGTTTATAAATTTACTCTCGTAAACTAAGTTTATCAGGAAATAAAATATTTCTGAACCGAAACTTAGTTTTGACAAATAATTAACGATCTGAGACTTTTCTTTTGTAATTGTGTGTGAAATTAAAAAAAAATGTGATCATGAAGGAACATGACAAATAAAACGGACATTTTATAAATTGTCGCCGTCATCGCTATCGCTATCGCTGTTACTTTCTGCAACATTTATTATTAATTGTGTCTGTGATATTTATTGTCAATTAACATGTCTAGCTTACTCATTTTTTCCTCTTATTTGACAACATGGGATACACATTTAGACCATTCGGTAGCCGTAATTTATTGAATGCCTTCCCGAAACTGATTCACTGATTGTTTATCGATTTTTGTGTTCATCACTAGACTGTTTTATGTGGTATCATTATTTCACAAAATGACAGTAGGTCATGTCAAATCAGGAATCGAATTAAAATTCTGACTATAGTAACTTATAATTGTCAAAGTATCAAAACTTTGTACCATGTCATATTCTATAATTGTTACTATCACTTTAATCTTGTCTTACCTGTTTTACCTTCACTCTACATGCCTCACAGTTTGGTCTAGTTGCTACAATATTCAGCCTTAAAAAAGGTTAGAAGCATCGACAAATTATCCACAGCCGAGTTTTGATAGAACACAAAAGAAAACAGGCCTTTTTAAAATTTAAATATTTCCAGAACAATCCCCCGCCAATCTTTTATCATATGATTCATTCGGAATAAGAACAACACACTTAGCATTCATTGATCACGACACAGATCTATTTTACTTTCAAAACAACACTTTTTAAATCATAGTCTTTGGATGGCTGCTAGCCAAAATTGTTCCAGAAAAAAACAAATTGGTAAATGAACGAAATAATTGAAAAATACATTTTAATCTATCATCTATCAACAAATAAATCCTTGCCGTACTGGTTAACTATTTTTTAATAGTCACTAGTGTGAGACATACTAAATTTATTAAAAATACTTAACGATTTACTAACGTAAAATTACTGAGAAAATCTAGTCCTACTTTCAAGTCATAACGGGACTCTTACTCATGAGCTGCGTCGAAATTTTCAAGAAACATAAATCCTTCACAAGAAAGTCTACTCACTAAATAATGAGAAATGTTTGAATTTCTAGTTTTATAAATGTTTTATAACTGGAAAGGGAACATAATATTTTTATTAACAATAATATGTAATAGTATAATATGAGTCATCATTTTATTATAAGGTGTACTTAAGAAAGATACTAGGAGGATTGCAATGTCAAATTGTAGATTTCGCATTTATACCTTTCGCGTCACTTCTACTAATTTCGACATGAAGCGAAACTATTACATAAATAATCATTGGTAGGTATTTCAGTGTGGTGACAAATATGTCACCTTGAATTAGTACATATTAAAATTACTGTAATTGGATATACATTTGAACTGAATCCTTTTGACTGTTCCATAAATAGACTAACATTGATTTTGTAATTATAAGTTCATTATATATTTAACTGATAGCCTTATAGTAATGGAATAGTTTATGCCATTTACCTTATTTTAATAATAACGACTATGACGTCATAATGGCTTTGAAATGAAAGATGATGTTTCGGAATAGCTGTAGTAAAAAGTAACTGTTTATTAAATATAATAAAAAAATAAGTGTCACATAGATGGCAGAACCTTCTTTTGTATACTTGTGGAGAAAAAACGGATATTAAATGTCTAATATGAAATTGATATTGATAACATAAAGAAGATAAAAATAAACATAAGTATGATCATAAGCTTGATAGATTGATTCTTATCAACAGCAGGATAATTGTCAAATTATTGTCAGTCATTCTACAAATTTTGGATTATATTGACAATACCATTAATGACTTAGCTATGCCTAAGTTTCTTACTTTTTTGTTAGGCGAAACTCCTTTGATTTAATACATGCTAAATAAAGAATAAAGAGACAAGATGATGGTTTCCTCAGGATGAATAGGCTCTAAAATGACATAGTTGATTTGAAAAATTAATCTACTATAGGTAAGTTCCAACTACAACCCCAACAATGTGAAAGTATGAAAAATTCAATAACTTCCTAACATAGCACTTTTGACAATGGAAGGAAAAACACGTACTATAGATTAGTAGGTCTCATTAATATCTACAAAAACTATACAAATGTTATTTGATTGTTATGACTTCATTGTTTAGATTATATTGATCAAACAATTGTTTGTGTGTTCTTTTTTGTTATAACTCTATTTGGCTAAATTTCATCTGAGGGCCAACCCATACACTATTTTCCAGGAGTGGTATGTGTATGCTTGTGCAATGCACCCATGACACAGGATAAAAGCTTAACCATTGATATGCCAGATTGCAGATCTATGCGAGACACAAAGTGTTTTTTATTGTGTTTCATATACCAACAGAGAAGTGAAACATGGGCCCACTTTAAAAAGAATACTCAAGTTAATTTAAAAACTTTTCAAACATTGGATTTAATAAAAAAAAAATCCAATCTGTTTTTTTATTGTTCAGTAATAAGTATTGCCAGCATTTAGCTACACATAAATTTAAAACCTTTTTAAGTATAATGTTCTACTAGTTGTGTATAATGTGCGCATTTCAACTGATAAGGTCAAGGCCAATGTCTATTATCTATAAGTATGTATTTAAATTAGACCTTCAATTAATAGTTAATCAATTTTATTGAGTCACTATGTCTCTGCTGTATGTCCTACTTACTTTTAATAACAATTGTTATAAATATTACACAATTTCAGCATTTTTCATTTCAAGAATAATTTTTAAGAATTTACAACTTGTTTTGTATGACCAGAAAGCATTTGGAAGTATTTATATCTAACTTATTTTTTTATCATTATCAGACATATACAAAAGTCTCCCATAATTACAAATAAGTAATGTCCTCATAATTATGATTAATGTGTAAAATTAGCTTTTCCGTTCCAGACAACAATTACTAACCCATGGCAAACTCTATTTGAGTCCATTACCCTATTCTGTTATGATTCAGTACAAATAAGCAAGTATTCAAAACTCACATTTATAATTATTATAAAAAAAAGCAATAAATTCCTTACCTCTATGCAGATGTTTTATGGCTTCATCGTAACAGTCAAGTTCTACCAAAGCCTGTCCCAAAAAGAAATGGCCTTTGACCTGATTATTGTCTATGTCAAGAGCCCTTCGACAATCCTGGCAAGTTGCCTCCCATCTCTTCATCTTCAGATGGCATAATGCACGGTTTGTGAAGTATGTGGCAACTGATGGATTTTTTATCTGTAATGTTTAACAATTATTTTAAACCTATGTAAGAATAAGAAATAAGAAAACACCAGCTTATAGATAGCTGGAATAGAGGTTTATTAACATATGAAGGGAAAATTAGGACTCCAAAGCAAACAATTGCTGAATTTATCAAGCCCCAAGTGAATGCCAGCATTCTTACACCATCATATGTTTAGAATTGCCACAATTGAAGGATAATTTTTCAAGTTTGGTGAATACCATTTTTATTTTTATTGTATATATGCAGGTAATTCGATATTAAATTCCTATTTAAAAAAAAAGCAGTACAAATATACAAATCAAGCTTGTAATAAAAATGAAAAGGCCGGCAAGAATATTATCCTGCCTTCCTATCAACAGAGTTCTTATCTTATAAGATGTTGGACAAATAAACAACACATTTAATTAAGTACTTTCTAATAAGAAATAAACATGTCATGTTTTAATGAGTCATGGTTCTAGTGAACCATTTTAAAACAAAGAAATTATGACTACCTTGTACTTTTTCATATATTTTTTATTTGTGTCACATAATTACTTTTAACAAAACTTGAACTTTTTGGATATGATGTGATGAGTACCTAAGGATAAGATCAACAAAGAGATACTTCAAAAAAGTTTTTAACTTTAAAAACAGGTATACGTGAATACTTTGGTGTTAGTATACGAACTACCAAACTAAGTAGAATATTATTTGATTTCCTTTGCTTTGTCTTAAAAAAGCAAGGTTCGTTACTATTATTAAGGACAAATGTTTGGTACTCACAATAGCCTTTGTATAGCAGTTCATAGCATCCTCAAAGCGCCTAAGGCTGAACAATCTGTTTCCTTGCTCCTTCAGCTCTTTATCGGTGAGGTTCGCTGTAGTGTACGTATGTTTACTCATTTTTCTAGCAATATTCACGCTTCGTTCAACTCTATTTTGTCACATATATCATTATTCACCTTAAGCAAACAAGTAAATTATTACGAAATTTATATTTTCGTACACAATTGAATAAAATATATTGTAATTATTTTTCTTCTAGAAAAATATGTTTGTCAGCTTTTGACATTAGCATTTTTTGTTTTTGACAGTCAGCGACAATTTCAGTGTTGCCATTCTAGAGTAATTGAAGTTGCCAAGTTATTATAAACCAACCTTCCACAGTCCGTAGTATTTATTGACGGAATGTTAATCAAATTAGTATTTTACCAATTCCTAGTTTTACACAAGCATTATTAAACGAAAATATTGTGTCATTGAGGTTCAAATTTCGCTCACTTCTCAAGCAATATTAAAGTTTAATAATTCATTATAATTACTACTAGCAATTTGTGATGAAAGCCAAACTTTATCATTACCTTTGAGAGCAGCATCAACCCTCTTAAAATCTTGATGATTTCTAGTAACCAATGCTCATTCTGCGTCCAATCGAGTACAGAAGATAGTAAATTGTCCATAGTTAAAAATTACTTATAGGCTGTACTGTTTACGGACAGAAAATACTATTTAAAAAATAAGAACCAATTATTTATTAATTTCTTTAATATTATATTGGAAGAAATAATATATATATAATTGAAAAGAAATAGCAAATTTTGTTAATTACATTAAGTTGCTTCTATTCATCCAGCACTATAATAATAATTTTCTCTCGTTGCTCCTATAATTTAACTGTTAATTATGTATTATGAAACTTTGCCGGAAGGGTCACCGTAGGAAACTCAGTGTTCAAGTATGATGGTATTTTATAAACATGATAAAGTGTTGATAGGTCTCTGGTCCAGAGGCTGATTCGCTTCGTAATTTCTTTTGGAACATGACCTAAAGTACATTCCGAAAGGTTTTTTCTTGGTTTAGCCGTAGTACTGGAAAACAAAATTGACTTACTTGGTTATTTCATCGTGACAATTCTGATAAATATTACTTTACTAACTAGGTAAGATCAGTCATTTTATTATTTGACGACATCAATATATACCTTATTATTGGATCCTGGACCATTGGAGGAATTAAAGGTATTTCCATACTGACTTTCATTAGAGGACAAGGGAAATGCACATTAGTTCCCAAACACAATACGCCATCTTCATATTCCGTTTTCTAGAAAAAAATAGTCAACAGTTAAAATTTATAAAATTAAGTGCTCAATGCTTTTATACCCTTTTTTGCAAGGTGAAAATCATCAAATGATTTCTCACTTTAAGTGCGAGGCGAGAGGGAGTGTCAGACTCTTACTGACTAAACCAATGCAATGCGTGCCGCGAGTTACGAGCGCGTTGCTGACCTTTTGGGGATTAGTAATTTGGAGATTTTGAGATTGGGGAGGGATTGGAGGAGGGTAAGGATTGGGCCTCCGGTAATCTCAGTCACACCGTGAAACACAACGCTGTGGTTTTTGTGAGGCCGTGATATCACTCCGGTCGAGCCGACCCATTCGTGCCGAAGCATGGCTCAACACTTGTTGATACAAAAATGATGATATAAGTAGGATCCGATCGGATGGGATCATTTTTAGATAAATTGCCTAAACAGATAAATTAAAAAGATAAATTGATAAGAAAATGTTGAACCACATCACCTCTTTAATTTGTTTAATTTTCTTGGCATGTGCTAGGAGGCAGTCGCACCATTTCCAAATGTTTTCATCTGTAGCACCTCGCCGCTCGAGACGTTCTTTTAAGTCTGCCATATTGCGTATCGGTTTCTGCACCTGTACAGTTTAATTTACTTATGTGTTTTTTTAATAGGTTCGTTGTTATAAACTAGGTATATCTACATAATACTGACTTCTTGTTAAGCAGTCGCAAAAGTGGCTGAAGAGAAAAAAGCTATTGTCTGGTCAGACAATGTATGAAAAGAAAGTAATCTAACTTCAACAAAAAAAAAACATACTATCATCGGCTTGACTAGAGTGCCAGGCAAGAAATGTCTCAAAGAGTACGCCCCAGCAGATCGCTCACTGGCTTTCGTACTGGGTAGCGGCTGACGGCCTTTGGAAGGGGCCAGGCTCCATCCTTGGGAACTGGGTGGCGCATACTGATCATCATGAGAAGTATAAAACTCTAAACTTGTGTCATGGCGCAGTAATAACTCCTGAAAGATAAAAAAAAATGAGAATCACAAATCCTGAAGTATATTCGGTGAAATAACCCTTGAAAACTAGCCTGCTACACAAATGTTATTCAAGGGTCTGCACTTAATACTTTTTTTATGTAATAGGTCGACAAACGAGCCTAATACGGATTACCTGATGGTAAGCAATCAGCGCCGCCCATGGACACTCGCAACGGAGGAGTTACGAGTGCGTTGCCGACATTTTAGGGATTAGGGATTCGGAAATTTAGGGATTGAGGAGGGATTGGGGGAGGGGAAGGATTAGGCCTCCGGTAACCTCCTCTCCGGTAACTTACATGGAACTTTTCAAAATCTGTATCGATTTTGGCTCTAGTAGCTAGTTCTGCCTTCAACTCGTCGACAAGATAGGCCCAGTATTTGTTGACCCTAGCGTACTCTCCCAGCTGCGCACGAGGTAAATAAGAAAGAATCCTCTTGCCAATAGCCGAAGGTAGCATTTGTATCTAGCAAAAAATAATAGCTCCAAATTATAAAAAAGAAACAAATCAGTTGGTAATACTTTCTACGGTGTTGTGGCCAGCCACTGCGCCAACCGTGCAGTGAAAAGTTCCGTGCTGGCAAATATTGTACTATGGTAATGGTAATGAATATTTGAGATTTTTTTTGATTGCTTTTTGATTGTTGTTCCGGGTCTGGGTGTGGTGTGTATGTGAAATTGTTTATTTATTGCACCAACGACACAGGAGAAAATCCTAGTGTGGGGCCGGGCAACGTTTTTTAAACTAAAATAAAAAAAGAAAGAAGGGTAAAATACCATCTACACCACCTCAGGGTCATTTAACCAATATAGTTAAGGGTCAAAATCCTCAGTCAAATCTTAACCGGCTTTATACATCAAACCAAAGCTCTATATATTTCTCCTCTATCTTCGAAAGTAACAATGACACATCACCATAATAACTCACGAAATCTACAGTTTCAGTAACTTCAGGTTTGACTCGGTTGACCTTCCAGATCTTTCTCTTGGAGCCGTCATTGAAAATCATTTCTATTTCTTCCAGTTTCAGACTATCACGCATCGATTTTATAGTCGCATTCCAAGTAGCCAGGTTTGCGTCTAACTGAAACATTAAAGTAGTTTAAAAACAAAAATAAAATGACGCTTCTTTGTAACCTGAGTTTTAAGGACGCAACTAGCTTGGGATAGTTCCTACCTGTCTTAAAATAGAGTCAATTTTCTTAGACGAGGTAAAAACTGAATTACCTAAGGATATTTTCGAATTATTCTTTATCTGTCTTTTGGAGCCGTCTTTGTAAATAATTTAATACGAGACATTATTCGCGACTTTATGTTTCTATGAAAACTCGAAATTGCCTATCTCTATCGCTCTAAACTCTTCTTCAAAAATGTATTCAAGTTTTCAGGTCCAACGAGTTTTCAGACTAAGCAAGTTTTATTTAATTCAGTCCTTTAGTTTCCACTACTCTGGACTGGAAAGTTTTATTCTAGACTTGTCTACATTTTATGTAAGCTCGGGTCGCGTATATACCTAATCCAAACATTATTAATTAACACTTTTTACATATTATGCGTGATGATATTAATGATAGAACACGAAAACGAAACTAAGGATGAAAACATTCATTAAAATGACAATTAATTTAGTAATCACCGTACTTAGTAGTCATTAAATGGTTACTTAACGCAATCCTTAGCAAATATTTTTGGATCAAAATAGCAGGTACCTAATGAAATGTAAAAGAATAAATAAACATAATAACTTTGAACTCACCGATTTCTGCGCCGCTCCAATAGATGACGCTGTTACTGGAGATTCAGGTGCCTCATGGTGTTGACTTGTCTCTTGATTTGGTTTCTATCAATATATTAACAAATTACTAAAATAATGTGAGTACGGGCTGATTTTTCAATGGTTTGATAAACGTTACCTGGGGAATAATTATAATGTTGTCGCGTCAGAATGTTTGTATAAGACAGTGACAGCAATAATTTTATTCCTCAGATAACATTTATCTGACTATTAAAAAATCAGCCCTAAACCCAACATTAACCTTTCTCATAGCTACCAAGTAAAATCAGCTCTAAGTTATATGAGTAACTTACTCACATGAATTAACTGAGAAAAACTACTAGAGAGCTACGCGAAGTCGCTGCGACGCGTACGTCTGACCTGTGTTCTTTTTTTTAAGTAAACGATACTTACTTTAAAAGTACTTAATGGCATTCGTTTATTAGGTCCTTATTTAAATAACAAGACAATTATCAATCCCTTTATCCATCATCATTCTAAAATATCCTGTGGCGACGCACATAGTAACACCAATGTTCAACAGATGGCGTAACAAGAACTATATCACGGAGGTTAATTTTTCGGCCCAATAAACAAGTATAGAAAAGCGCAACGTATCACCTCGCCTGGTGAGACGATCCTCCTTTTCCGATGTTAGAGAACTATACCCTCTGTTCTTTGAACTTTTTTATGAGGGGAAAATTATCATTTAACTTCTCTCGCCTAGACACTTACTGAATAAAAACCCCCCTGTTCCTTCTCCTACTTTACACCGCGGCCGCGGTACCGTATTGCGCTAGCCCCGCAACCTCGGCTGCTGCAGTATGTACCTGCTGCTGGTCATTAACCACGATGCACTCTTGCATATTCTTCAGCATGAGGTCTCGGTTCCTTTCGAACAAAGTGCGTGCTAGTTTCAACACCTCCCACATCGCTGGTCCACCGGCCACCGTCATTAACTCTGATAGCACTAGAGCTTGAGATTCCTTAACGTTAAAAAAAAAAGTTAAACGCATTGGACACAAGGATGTGAAGAATGTATCAAATTCAGAGGACAAGAGGTTGAGAAGGTTTGACTCAGCATTTGTGTAACAACTCGTGATAACAAATCGTAATTTAACCTTTATTCTTTTATACAGATGTAACAGAACTTAATGTATTGATGCAGCCTAAAAACATAAGTATTTAGGTAGTA